CGTGGCAACGTACGAAGGGGTGCAATCGGCTTGCACGTGCATACTGCATAGCTCATGCACCAGAGTTTAGCTCAACCAAATGTGCATTATTTTGGAGGCCTTGCCTGGGACTACCATTGAGCCGATTTTGAGGTTGATTGAGCTTAAAATTTTTTCACATATGAAACTTTTTCCGGAATTTCCGAATTCCGAATGTGCATGCGGATTCCGGACAATTTCAAATCGGCTCAAAATGGGCATATAGACCAAACAGGATACGCTGATCACGAATCCGAAGTCCGTTCCGCGGCACATATGAAACTTTTCCCGGAATTTCCGAATTCCGAATCTGCATGCGGATTCCGGACAATTTCAAATCGGCTCAAAATGGGCATATAGACCAAACAGGATACGCTGATCACGAATCCGAAGTCCGTTCCGCGGCACACATGAAACTTTTCCCGGAATTTCCGAATTTCGAATCTGCATGCGGATTCCGGACAATTTCAAATCGGCTCAAAATGGGCATATAGACCAAACAGGACACGCTGATCACGAATCCGAAGTCTGTTCCGCGGCACATATGAAACTTTTCCCGGAATTTCCGAATTCCGAATCTGCATGCGGATTCCGGACAATTTCAAATCGGCTCAAAATGGGCATATAGACCAAACAGGATACGCTGATCACGAATCCGAAGTCCGTTCCGCGGCAAATATGAAACTTTTCCCGGAATTTCCGAATTCCGAATCTGCATGCGGATTCCGGACAATTTCAAATCGGCTCAAAATGGGCATATAGACCAAACAGGATACGCTGATCACGAATCCGAAGTCCGTTCCGTGGCACATATGAAACTTTCCCGGAATTTCCGAATTCTGAATCTGCATGCAGATTCCGGACAATTTCAAATCGGCTCAAAATGGGCATATAGACCAAACAGGATACGCTGATCACGAATCCGAAGTCCGTTCCGCGGCACATATGAAACTTTTCTACACAACAGTTCTACACAATGTGTAGAATTGTTGTAAAAAGGTGCTGAAAGTTTCGTAACGATATCTTAGGCCGTTTTTTACTTATCGTCAAAATCCGTGAGGGGGGGGGGTAATATTTACCCCCCAGCGCCGTGCAGGTTAACTATGTCTAAATCACCCCACCCGTGGGGTAATTCGGTTTTTTAACACATTTTTTAACCCATTTTGAGCCGATTTGAAATTGTCCGGAATCCGCATGCAGATTCGAAATTCGGAAATTCCGGGAAAAGTTTCATGTGTGCCGCGGAACGGACTTCGGATTCGTGATCAGCGTATCCTGTTTGGTCTATATGCCCATTTTGAGCCGATTTGAAATTGTCCGGAATCCGCATGCAGATTCGGAATTCGGAAATTCCGGGAAAAGTTTCATATGTGCCACGGAACGGACTTCGGATTCGTGATCAGCGTATCCTGTTTGGTCTATATGCCCATTTTGAGCCGATTTGAAATTGTCCGGAATCCGCATGCAGATTCGGAATTCGGAAATTCCGGGAAAAGTTTCATATGTGCCGCGGAACGGACTTCGGATTCGTGATCAGCGTATCCTGTTTGGTCTATATGCCCATTTTGAGCCGATTTGAAATTGTCCGGAATCTGCATGTACGAGATTGATATCAATCTGCATGCAATTATACGAACGTCCGATCGGTCCACCCATTTTGACTCCAGGTCCAAAAAAGCTTGGACAAACTCACATACTCACTGACAAACAGGTTCAGCCGAACTTTTTTTTTCAGCGACCCACCAATGGGAATTTCCGGATGCAAAAGCATGCTATCGCATGCTTTTGATCCTCCAATTCTGGATAACTTTTGATTAAAGGGACCCTCCCACCTTAACATTAGTTTTGAGTTGAGATAGCCAAGTTTGCGGCCGGGCTCAGAAACCACCATTTATCCTGGTCGCAACCCCCGCAGCTTTATGGTGTTCAAGAAATTTCTTCCCTTTACTTGCAGGGTGGAACCAGCGTGGTCCCTATCTCTTAACCATTACGGGAATCTGATGACGTCATCAGGCTTTCGAACGTCCGTTAAATGTTTGACTAAAACGTTTTGTAGCACGCGGTGGTATATGCTGCTTTGCGCGCAACAAATGCCGCACTTTCAAATAAAGTCGCTAGGAACAGCGGAGATCCCAAAAAGTAAACAAAAGTAAAAGTCTAATATCTTGAAAACCGGTGAATATTTTTCGATGAAATTTGGTAGATATTCGTTTTTGCTCTTTCTGAACCGAGCGACATCACTTTCATGCCAATTCATTAACTTTTTTGAAGGTGGGAGGGTCCCTTTAAAGGTAGACTGCCACCTTTTTTTCCACAAAACGGTTTTCACTAGAGCTGAGCCACCTATGTCCCAGACTGAAGTCGGTTTTCCGAAATTCGAACCCGTTTGCGAGAAATCGGAGACCAAAGTTCAGTTTGATGCCATTTTTTTAGTCCAAGAAAACCGACATCTCTACTGTTTATCGATAACTTTGAAACACGAATTTTCTTATCTTTTGGTAAATATATGTCAAAACTTTGATTGTTTCGATATCAGAGAAGAATTTTGGAGTGTCAAAATAAAAGTTAAACTTATATATTCAGTAGTTCATTTTTTCCAAAAAAGTGTGGGAAATGGGGTTTAACATGGGCCAGACCCATTCCAAATGAGCCATGATTTTTAAAAATGTTTTACGAACTTAAATGCAAAATAAATTAAACATGGCCAATTTCTTATGAAATCATATATTAGTAAATCATAAAATACCTTACTTTTTCAAATAAAATGTAATAATCTTATGACCTTGAAGTCTAGTGATGTGTAAACATTGTCGCTAGACATTAACCGATTGATAATTGTATGATAATCGACATTTTTTCGCGATTCACGTGATGATACTTTGTCAGGTGAATTCTAAAATTTGGTTTTGTCCAGGGAATAAATCATAGGCCGATCTGAGAAAACTTTTTGAAGGTGGCAGTCTTCCTTTAAGACCCAAAAAGGCGATACATTGTGTTCAATTAAACAGCACGAATCTATTTTAGGCGTTATGACTTTTTCTATTCCGGTCATGGGCTTGTATGTAGGCTCAAGAAGATGATGTTAATGTTAATTTATAGCTAAATCCACGCATCCCAACGAGCGGAAGTCGTAATGAGGGTACGGCTCTCGCGAGATTAAGCGGTAGGTTTTGCACTTTTACATTTCCGGTTATACCTCAGAAAGTAATCGATCTACGATTAAGCCATTTGATTTTACACGAACATTGCCGGCTTGTCGGAACCAACAAGTCGATCGCATCTTCAACACTGAGAGTGAGAAACGAAGATATAGCCTGAAGTACACTAAATTTTATTGGTGCAAAAAAAAAACGCGAGACCTGTACCTACCCGAAAGAGATACCATGTAGCTATTGAATGATTGTTTACTTATTGCCGATTACATTTGTTTCTTCAAAGTTCGTCTATTTAAATATAGGTATACCTAATCAAAAAAGTAATCGTACTCTCATAATTAAAATCGAAAATCGTGAAAAAGGCCAGATAACTTTTTGACTTTATAACGGTTACATTTTTGATTATATTTTTTAAGGGACCCTCCCACCTTTACATTAGATTTGAGTTGAGATAGCCAAATTGGGGTCCCTGGCTCACAATTACCGGTTTCGGCACTCACAACATCGAGAAATGCCTTAAATCGGAAATATTGAATTTCAAAATTGCAGCATTTTGATTCAGAGGGGCTAATGCTTAAGAATACCCCTCTGAATGTGTGACGTCAGCGCAGATATCTAACGATTTTTTAAATGTTTGACTAAAACGTTTCGTAGCACGCGGTGGTATATGCTGCTTTGCGCGCAACAAATGCCGCACTTTCAAATAAAGTCGTTATAGGAACAGCGGAGATCCCAAAAAGTAAACAAAAGTAAAAGTCTAATATCTTGAAAACCGGTGAATATTTTTCGATGAAATTTGGTAGATATTCGTTTTTGCTCTTTCTGAACCGAGCGACATCACTTTCATGCCAATTCATTTACTTTTTTGAAGGTGGGAGGGTCCCTTTAATTATGACTATGTCTCTCAAAACAGTGCTCACAACAGCTCGTCTAATTAGACGGTTTTCATCCTCTTATATCCAAACCGTTCATCTGAGGAAATCTGAAGACGTGACAGGGAATTTTTTCCAGACTATGTAATATATTAGCTTCGCTTTTACGCGATCCTGCGGCCTTTTTTTGGTATACGAGTCATATGCCACTTTGAAAGTCAAAACTTGTAAATTTAGCGACCGCCAATTCTACGTTTTGTGGCGCCTTATAGACGTCAAAAAACGCACGCTGGGACCGAGACCACCGAGACCGAAAACGCTGGGAGCGCCAATGGGGTCGTAAACGGTAAAAGTATAACACTCGAAACCTTCGTTGCAGTTAAAACAGCTACAATTTAACTGCTGATAGACTGCGCTGATTTATCTTATAAGATAAATCAGATAGATATGGCTATCAAATAGAGATGGCTATCTTATTCTTATAAGATAGCCATCTCTATTCTCAGAGAAAGTCTCGAATGTCACCTCGCTTGCCATGCCAGGGAAGCCTATAGAAGCAATCGCCAGATATTTGACTACGAATGTACGACACAATCGCTTCAGCGAACAAAAACTGTTTACTTCGTCCACACATCAGAGGGTCAAGCTCAAGGTGAATCGGAGTACCTCTGCTTTCACCGTTTTAACTGATCGGCAGCTTCCCCCCCCCTATCTCACACTACCCCCCCCCCCCCCCCGTAACCGATCACCACGTGCCACGTGGTGTGCACATGCACATCACACGAGCCGCCGACCGCTCGCGACTCAAGTATCACGGCTGGTAGGGGGGCGGGTCAACTCGAGGAGGGGGAGGGGCGGTGCGGTGACACACTGACGTCACAGATCAGCGCTGCTGCCATCTGCCGAGCAGCTCTGACACTAGACTCTGCGGCGGCGTTGCGGCTGGCGCGGGGCGGTCGCAGAGCAGTTCGAGTCGGTGGTCTGCGGCAGTGGGGTGCGTGTATTGCCGAACGGACCGCTGGGTGTCGCGTGTGCGCGCCGAGTGTCAAGTGAGTGCCTCAGTCTGGTGAAGCGGTGATGACGGAGTGTCGAGCAGGCGATAGTTCTCCGGGAGGGGGCGGTGCGGACCCCCGACTGCCGGACCCTTCTGCCGGGGCGGCCACAGACTTGCGGGGGGCGCCGGGCCCGGGTGAGGCGGACAATCATGCTCAGCCGGCCGCGGGGGACGCACCGGCGGCCGACGGCGCCGACTCGGACACCTCACAGGTGGAGGATGATCGGGCACAGGTGCCGGCGGCGTGGTCAGTGCCGACGAGCCGGCCGCCGTCGGCGCGCGCCAACCGGCGCTTCACCGTGACCAAGCTGGCCGAGGGCGAGGGACCGTCGTCTCCGCCGCCTCGGCACCACCCTCCGCCCATTTTTGTGTCGTCCGCCTCGGCCCCGGCCACGGCGCCGGCGCCGGTTCAGGTTGACTCGGGTGTGACTCCGTTCGACTCGGCGGCCGACTCAGGGGACACTGACGGCTGGGACTACGGGCCGGCCGCGGACCCTCCGGCCGCCGGCGCCGGGTCGGCGGGCACGGCAGGGTCGGTGAGCACGGCGGTCGTGTCGCCGGCCGTGTCGGGACTGGGTGTCCCTCGTGTCCCCGGGGCGCCGGGCTGCCGGTGCTCGCAGACCCTGCCGCCGCCGGCAGCGCCGGCCGGCAGTGGGGCGCCGCCTCCCGTCCGGGCACCAGCCGTGGCCGGTCTGGCGGCGGGCGTGCTGGCCGGCCTGCCGGGCGTGCGGGCCGCGCACTACGCCACCATGCAGCCGGGCCTGGGCGGCGTGCCGCCCACTGCGTACTACCAGCCGGTGCCGCGGCAGCCGCTGCTAGCCACCGGCCACTCGGCCACGCTGGCCGCCGGTCTGGCGGGCTCTGCGCGTCTCCAGCAGGCGGTGCAGAGCCGGCTGGCGGCCGGCACCAGCTCGGTGCACCCGCGCCTCCAGCCCAGCCACCCGCTGTACCGGCGGCTGGCGGCGGCCGACTACAACCCGGCGCACACCATATCGTACGGCCACTCGGACGGCCGCCAGCTGACGGTGCGCCGCCTGCTCGACTGGGAGCTGCCCGACCTGCACACCGTCCGTAAGTACACAAGGTAAACACGCCCCCCGCCCCCGCCCAGGTCACGTGACGCGCCGCGCCGGCCGGCCGGTCACGTGACGGCAGCCGGGCCGACGCCGGCCGGACTGAGAGATTCGTATAGATAGGCCGGACACTGGACAACACTGCCTGCGGTCCTGAGCGGTGATGGGAAAGGAGTGACAGGGAAGCTGTGTGACGTGTATTCATACGACTTACTATAGTCTGACAAACCTAAGGGCTAAGAAAGAACGGATTTAAAGTGCAACAGCCGTTAGCCGAACATTGGTATGCACTTGTTTAGAGATTGAATACGGAACCAAGTTTACCAAATGTGCTCCCTGTGGAATTCTGAACATCAGTGGGCCGTTGCTAACTGGAAAAGACACGAAATCGGACGGCCGTACCTATACCAGAGCCACCCGATAGTGTATAAACATACGATTTAAGTCGCCGCGGAGATTTAAGTCGCTGCGGAATTGGTACATTCACTTACCTACACGTAGAGGATTTACCGCAGCTAACGCTAACCGTTTAACGGCTTTATGATTATAATAGCTCCGAAACGGCGCTCGTCGGATATTTCTCTTGAGTCTGCAAAGGTCTGAAGTCTTAAGGGATGGCAGTTTATGACAATTTATGAGAGGCCTGACGTATCGGCGTCATAAGGCCCTACTGCTAGTCATGCCTAAGAGACATCAATTGTCTCAGATTGTTCAAAGATGACTATAGTCTGATCTGATACGCCAAACTTGTTTGATCGGGATCACCGTTTAGTTCGACAATACGACCACACTTCGCTTGAGTGATATGTGATCAGCGATTTTTGACGGTTTACGAATGCCCGTACCGTTTCAGTTCCGAAGGCGAAATAACTTGCTTGGCCTTTGATATTTTTTGCTGTAGCAAGCACTAAGCACTATATCGTCTATGACTCAATCACGTATGATTTGCCAAGCTTGTCAAATTATAGCGGCGTTTATTTAATTGACGCGGTTTACATAGCCTTGATTTACACCATTGCAAGAAGGTATACCTACGTCCAAACTGCTTCTTTTAATGTCGTATAATAGGCCCATCGGCCATCGTTGTCGGAACATATGTTTACCTTCCGTTGCACTGCGAGCTCTGAAACAAATTTACGCATTTTCAATTTCATCATCTCTTTTTCTTTTTTAACGAAAATCACCGACGGAGCAAGCCTCGCTGATAAGCGAAGCCAGATATAGTCCTAAGATAGAAGTTAGAGGACTTATTTAACATTGCTAGAGCCATCATCGCCATTTTTAACAAATTAATGAGGACTTAACTTGTTCTCTTACAAACTCCACATCATGACCTTTTGAAATGTCATAAAATTTAAGGTCTCATTTGTGTCACTACGTCTGTTTTACATCGACGTAAGACATACGGCCCTGCAGTTTTCTGAGCGTATGTCACGTAGATCTACCAAGTTGCACGGTCTCTGAGAACTCCGCGTTCCTTTGAAACCGATATCGACTGTGTTTACCTATAAGTCAGTGAGCCCCTTCCGGCTGTTGGAAGTGCAGTGCAGTGTTGAGTGTCGGCTATTTGGTCCAGGGCTGCGGAGTCGGAGTCGGAGTTGGAGTCACCCTAAGGTTCATCGACTCCGCAGCCCTGATTTGGTCTGGGTTATAGGTAGTGGAGATCGGGTGGCAACTCAAAAGACGGTGAGACATTATGCGGTCCGTGCACCTGGCATAGATGCAAACTGCAATCTGTTGTTGATTTGTGTTTTCAATAATAGAATCGTACGTAGAACCGTCCTTGAAAAGTGTGTTGTATTTGACTATTGAGAATGAATCCGTCCTCTCAAAAGTTACATGTACGGGTGCGTTCCGTCCGCTCCAGAAGCTCATTTACCTACCCTTTATGTCGATTGGATACCTTCTAGGCATCCTAGTGCAGTATCATGACAATTGACAAGTTCCGTAATCCTACTGCCATGTCTTACTTACTTACCGGTCTTACTGGTCGAGCGGCAGCGTCGTTAGCCGGCGGAGGCCCAATAGTTGGCCCCAAGCAGCCTCTGCTCCTCCTAGCTGGAACACCCTGGTCAGCGCCGCTCGGGAGAGAGTACCAGTGGCCAGCTGGCACATCGTGTGGGCAGCGCGGCCACGGGAGGTGGATTTCGCCACCCAACCCCGCTGCAGGCCTCTCTCGCTCATCCTCTTCTCCTCCCACGACCCGTTGTCGCGGCTGCTCAGCTGTCGATCCCGTATGATGAGTTGGATGTCCTGCGTCCCGAGCTCCAGGTAGTCGGAAGCAGAACCGCTGCCAGCCAGGTGATCGGCTCTGTCGTTCAGTTGGACTCCGGCGTGCCCTGGGCAGTATACCCATACGACTTGTTGAGGGAGGTCGTGCCACTCCGGAGGAGCCGATCCGCTCTCTAGTTTGCGCAGGAGAGACTGAGAGTCGGTGCAGATGATGCACGCGGCTAGATCAGGGTGGGCGCTTCTGGCAAGATCCAGACCGCGGAAGATGGCCTCCATCTCAGCCCTCATGCTAGAGAGGCGAAGGTTACAGCCTCCACGGTGGGTCTGCAGGCTGCCGTCTGACTCCCTCATCACACACCCCCATCCCGATCTTGGGGCGCTTGTGGTGACAGAACCGTCAGTGGCCAGGACGACGAGGGGCTGTGGGAGCTCACTGCTGGTGTCGGCCAGGACCTCCTCAAACATGGCGTTCACTACGTGTGGTGGTAGCTCACGGTCGGTGCGGCTGAAGAGGTCGATCTTGAAGGTCCATCGGCATCTGGTGGCGGGAGGCGTCGCAGACCACAGGTGAGATCTGCGGATCTTGTGCCGACCGCAGAGACCGCGCAGAGCTTTGGTCCCATCGCGCAGCCAGCCCGTGCGCTGCAGACGTGCCAGTGGAGCGCGTGCCAGGGCTTGGTCGACGAAGCCGTGCAAGGGATGGCCGCAGTCGGAGGCGACGATGCACACCGCTCTGGCTCGTAGGACTTCGTGTAGGTAGGTCGATGATGGAGGGCAGGTCAAACATGTACCTCAGCGCAGTGACCGGCGTCTGTCTGGGGCACCCGGTGGCGAGTCGGAGAGCGCTGTTCTGGATCCGCTCGAGCTTGTCCATCGTTGTCTTCAGCGGATTGATGATCTCGAGTCCGTAGGTGATTCGAGAGAGGGTGATTCGAGAGAGGAGATGTCATGCCGAGTTATACAGTCCATTATCTCTCAGGGGCTCTTAATTGTACTTTTCCATGTGTATAACCATGCCAACAGCTCGTTGCTACTCAGCTATGAACTATGGTACCTCTCTGCTGGCGTGCAGTGTTTGTTTGTTTGTTTTGCTCATCCGTCGGTCCCGGGCGCCACGTCAGCGCCCTGAGAGGTCACAGGCGCCCCGGAGCCGGGCTCGTCACCGTGTCCACGTGTCATCCCATCCGGCCTGTACAAACAAACCGACAGCGTCCGAGCAGGGCGGGCCCGCGCGGCGTGCACGCTGCACCCCCTCTGTATCACCGCGCCCTCCCCCTCCTCAACTCTGACCGCACGTCCGGCCGACCCGGAGGAGAGTCACCACTTCCTGGGAGCTGAGAGCACACTGGACAGACACATTGCTGTCCAATGGGACAGGTCACGACACAACGAGATTGGTCACGTCACAACTAGGCAGGTCACGTCACTGCTTCCTATGTTGATGATGTCACGAGCGAAGTTGACGTCAGAACTTCCTGTCTTGGTGATGGCACAGCCTCCGGTCTAGGTTTCGTCCGCTTCCAGCTCCTGTCGGTATAATGTCCCAGTGGCCAGAATGGGCACAGCAGTCTAATCAGCTGGCTGGAACGCTACACTCAGATAACAGATTGCTGCATGGAATCGGGCCTCAACTCTGCCTTATTTGTCCTTGTTGCGCTCAAGTTGCTTATCGTTATCTTTGGTTCGTTTGGAAGGGGAGACTTTTGGAGGCATGCCTCAAGTCCGCAAAAGTTGAATCCTCATATCAATGGTATTTTGATTTATAGTTTGGTGAGCATACACGACGAATTCAATGAGATTTCGGCATCACTTACATTAAATCTTAATTTTATAGGTAATTATATGAGTGCATCGTGGACCCAAAACCGTTCGAGGATCATTGCCTATGTTTAATCATTCTTCAATATCCCGCTACACAGTGCAGCCATAGTGAACCTCGCTGCCAGGAAGGAGCCACGGGATAAGCTGTTTGGTAAATCTATATTACTATTTGAGGAGGGTGCGTCTGTCCGTTACCGAGGTCCCGACTTGGTGGTGCTTTGCGTGGACTACAGGCCAGACCGTTGCACCTAGCCCGGTGAAATTTGCACAACTCATAGATCAAGGATGCGCGACGTGCCTTTGAGGAGTCTGAGCTCGATCGGATTGATAGGGAGCGCGTGGCGCGTGCTCAAAAAGTGCAAATTCGCGTCATAGACTTTACATGTATAAATCGGCGTGCGAAATCGGGCGAAAACGGCTAATTTTGGCCGACACGGGTCCGGTTCCGGCGCAATATCTTGGTGACCAGGGGTCCGACCGGCACGGGGAAAACAGCATCGTGTAGATAATTGAATGGGCAATTGAATGGTGTGCGATACAGAGGATAGCACGCGCCACGTGCACCGGGGAGGGCACTTTTGTTGAAAAATTGCGGTTTTGGGCGGATTTTGGAATTGATTTTATTTTTAGGTGACCGTTAAACAGAGCGAGTTGGAACAACGCCTGTTGGCAAGAGAAATGTACCGCCTATCATATAAAAATTGTGAAAAGCTGATTGATCCAAATCAAGGTGGTGCAAATCACAGGAGAAAATGGTGTTTGTCAATTTTGTGCCACTTTATTAATCACACGGAGTTTGCTGCATAACCTGATACCTTTGGCAATTGAATATGGTACCATTGGATAGAGCATTCAATTCTGTCCAATATTCACTCTTCATTTTTGCATGGTTAGCAACAGTATCCTTAAAAATGTAAATGTTCCAAACCATTACATTGTCATTTTTAGCGAAATTCAT